ACTCGAGGACCGGCCAGGTGTTGTTGCTTGTCCTCAAGGGATGCAACACCAAGGATCAGCTTGCGTCTGAACTCACGATATCCGCTTGGCTTCCCATCGAAGTAGAGGTCTTTGAGAGTGTCTTTGTAGTCCATGGCTCAAACTGCCAACAACAAACAACAATGTTCCACAACCAACAAGCAATGTCAATGCTCAACAATCAACGTCAACTCAACTTTGCACCACTGCACAAGCAATGTACCTAGATGGCACGAGCTGCTCTGCGGTTTGCACCGCACCCGGGATCAGGCCGGGACCTCACAAAGCAATCCTGGAGCTTGGCAGCTCCGCTACCATGTAAAATGGTGAGCGGAGGATCAACAGCAACTTGTAAAGGCAACTGTCACAACTCAACCAACGGGGATCAAAGAACTCCGTCACGATCAAAAGAAAGCGCTACGCTCACTTTTCCATTGCGCAACCGTCGGGGGCTCGGATGAGCCAGACTCAAGGGCCCTTGTGCCAAAATGGTCACATGAGAGGGCCGCCATCTCATATCATGATATGCATGTTCCAATGCATACAAATTCACAATATAAGACTGGTTAAGCTTAAAAACAGGTTGTGGGTTGAAATTAATGGCCTGCCCGGCAGTGACCAGTGGCTGTGGCCGTGGCCGTGGCCGGTGGCCGGACTTTAGAAAAAAATCAAAAAAACATGTGAAAACTATGCACCTAACCAGGCTACAATTTGACTGCCATGGTCCATTGAAATTGTGAGTTGGCCAGTTTTGGGCAATGGAACACTAGTATACAGTATACATAGAAGCTACTAGTAGCAAGGACGCTATTAGGTGAAGGCCATCGCTATTAGGTTGGAGGCCATCGCTACTAGTAACAAGAAGCTACTAGTAAACAAACAGAAAAGGACCCTGTTGAACTACGATAGGCTTTTCGGCGACGCGTTTCACGCAATATGTGGTTTCTGAAAAATTGCAACAGTGAAGCAAGTGTCTCAAGAAGCCTTGTCTCAACGACCGCTGTGCCGCAACTTGTAGCTCACTGATGGTTGATCGGTGCGGAACAGACACTCGCACACCTCGACCGCTTGGCAAGTTCACGAAGACGCTCAACGTGGCATCCGATTCATCGGCCATGGCTGCCAGTCCGGGGCAAAGCTAGCTTTTCTACTACTTATGTCTGTGACATTAGACTACAATGGGCTTCATACTACTTACATACTCTCCCACAACCATTCGTGCCAAGAGGGTGGTAGGGCTTATTGTCTTACGTCTCCACCCTCCAAACAACTTCCTCCAGAGTCACAAGCCAGAAATCTGCAACCCTCTGTCATTGCCCACAAGGCAGTTTGGCCCAGCTCTTTATCTAGTGCGGTCTCTTGTGGTGCTTGGTCTCGTGCATCGAGGAAGTTGAAATGGTTATGTTCTGTCTGGTCTTGCTCCCACATGTTCCATTTTGCTTCCAGGTACATACTCTTCACTTGTTTGGGAGGCAAGAGCTGTGCATGCAGTGCAGGCTTAACGTGTTGTTGAAGAGTGTCACATCGCCCTGGGGTCATGCTGAAACTAGAACCCTGCAGAAAAAAGCGTCTGAGTTTGTCTTGGGGGCCGCTGAGGGGCAAACCAGCTAAAACAACAACGTCAAATCAAAACGATTGGGGACGGGACGGATTGCACACCCGATATGTGGGCTGCTTTCTGCCAAGAGACCCTTATGATTTTGTTTGTTGCAAGCACAGAATGAGTCAATCAAGCCTTGTGCAAATCACCTCCCCTTTGCTTCACTGTTTGGGCATCTGGAGATTAACCTCGCTTATCTGCAGAAGAAAAGCCATCAATCCAAACGGTTGGTTCAAGAATGCCGAATCAACTGTATGTTGTCTAATTCTGTTAAATTTTCGCAAACACCCAAAGCTGCATCCACATCCAGTGGTGTTCACTTGGAATAGCTGTTTCTCCTACGTGCCAGGTTTGCATGCACCACCCGGCACATGGCGAGACATAGCTGAATGATCACCCTAAAGCAAAAAATATATCCAATGATCCAAAACAAAAGGATCACTCAAAAAATGACGCGGCACGACATGTTAAGCAAAAGCCTTGCGAGACAAACAACTTGCCGGAGTTCAGTTCAGTCAAGTTATGGGCCCATTCCACCGCATGCATCGCCACTGCTCATCACGCTGGGTGCCGGGCGCCGACACTCGGCCCTTAGGGGTGGAGCATCCAATTTTCAGGGTTCAGGGACAGTGGCCAAGGGGTCGGCTGCTTCACAAAAAATAAGACTAACAAGATTGAGGTGTGGTGTGTGGTCACGAGTCACTAGTCATGTCAAACTGTAAATCTAAAAATCAAGTTGTTTCTCGCAGGGTATAGTGTCGAAGGGCTGGCCAAACAATCATTGGATCCAGGAGGTCCAAGCCGTGTGTATCCACCTACTACTGGCTTTTTAAGAGCGATATATAATCCTTAAGATCCTTACAGTAAGCCTCAAGCCTTCCCCTTCCATCTGGTTGTCATTGTGAAGTCTTCACCAGAATCCTCAACAACAACCTGGCCGACTGAACCACAGATCCCCCAAATATCTGCAGAAGCCTCCAGCCGCCTACCAGCAGTATTAGGATCCCGACATGGGCGGTGCCATTCCACTTGCGAAATAAGTGGCTCTGTGGGTTACTGTTCTGAACTGCTCTGAGTGGCTCGAGGCTGAGCTATCTCGTTGGGTGCGAATGATCGCTCAAAGCCCAAAGCATGTTGAGATATATTTATGATATTGCGGCAATTGCTTCTGGATTGAAATCCATGCAGGCCACACTATTGACGCTGTTCTTTCCTCACACGTAGACAGTAGGCATGCTTTCCAAGAGCTCGCAATTTGCGGGAGGAATTGGTCATTGTCACAAACCTTTCATGGCGGAGAAGAATGTTGGACGGATTCTGGTTGTCTAGTCCTTCTTTACCAGACTTCCATGGCTGAGAAGTGCGCGTCGCTGCGTCGCGCACGTGGCACTGAGACTAGTCACCTTAAACTCCACCCCCAAAAGCATCCCAAACGCATACCGTCCAGCGATCCGATACAAAAGAACATGTTCTTTGACATCTGTAACTAGCAGTTGTCGCCCCGAGCAAGAGGTTGCCAAGTCCAAGACTAGAGAACATGCCAAAGACTTCTTTGCGGCAATCTGTTTCAACACAAGCAGCGGTCATTGGAACTGGTAATGCTCTCCGCCGATCCCATATTGGAATTCACGCGGTCGCATTTGCTGGGGTCCCCTGTCGTCCAGCCAATTTCTCTTTTGGGTTATGTTGGTTGGTTTCATAAACTCCCTAAATCGACTCTGTCACGACTTCTGATACCTGAAGTGGTAGGGCCAAAGTCGGCGTTCAAAGAAGAGGAATCTCCATGAGAAGAGTTGCCTTGCAAAAACACTCGTGCTGGATCAATGGACACCTCAGGCTCGACATTGGCACCCGACCAGCAGTCTGGGAAGAGGTCACCTTTTCATCAATTGGATAGCAACTCTGACCGCAGAAAGGATGCAGGGCTGTATTGTAGCGCATGAACTTGAGAGAGGAGGGGGTGAACGAAAGGTAGCAGGCAATCACCAGTAACCCTGGTAGAAGTCCACGACGGCGTGAACCGGCGCAGGGGGGATTTGATCCAGGGGGGGGCCCCCCCGACGAACAGAATCAACTCTTACAGGACCAAATTCAATGCACAATCCCAACTCCTGATTGTAATACATTTTTGCTAAAGCAAGGAGAACTCAGGTAGCTCAAGCTACCTTTCGTGACTGTTGCGGTGGTGTTCTGGCTTCAGTGGGTACGGCATTGCCATATTGCCAAAAGGAGTGTGGTATGCATCTGGTGAATGGAAGTGACGAGCTAGAAAATCATTGGTGAATTCGCTGGCTGTGAATGAGCTCAACTGTGAGGTGGATAATGCTGAGGTTGCTTGAAACTTAATATAGCTTGGTAGCTTAGCGCTGTGTTGGCTGGGTGTTGCGTTAGAAACATTGTGAAGCCCGTCAGAGGTCAGGTAGCTACATCTAAATTGGTTGCTGGGCTACCAAAGCGGTGGGCAGTGGGCTACTTAAATGTGCAAAGCTTTGGGAAGGCTAGCTCCCAAATGATCGTCAAGCTAGCCAAGGCTGGTTGAAGCTGCCTGTGAGTTGACTACTACTACGTTGGGCTAAGTCCGGGTGGTGGGCTATTAGCTCTTGAACCAGCCCATTGATTGCTCAACTTAGCCAAATCTTCTTGAATTAGGAGGGTAACTAACTATATAAGTGGTGGGCTGGTCAAGCAACAAGCGCGGCCATCGCACCTGTTCTAGTTCCCAGCTTTTGACTTACGGTAGTTACAGCATGTTACGGCTTCCAAAAAAATATGCAAAAAAGACCGGTGGCCACCTGAACACCGCTGGTCCTCCCACATCGGGCGAGCTATTTACAAGTTGGCTGAGAGCTGGGTATCTTCAAACATGCAGAAGTTGCAAGAAACCTAAGAGCGATGGCCTCCAACCTAAGAGCAAAAGGAACCTAGTAGCAAAACAAAGCTTTGTTTCAGTTGCCACCACAGTTGTCTGAGTCCTTGACTGACAGGAAGAAATTCTCAACATGCATGAGAGTACGCAAGCTGAAACACCCTGCCCTTGCAGCCACTCGCTCATGCATCCAAACTTGCCAGTCTTGGCTGCGGTCCAATGTTTACACTGGTAGCGATGTGGTGAATGCCAACAGTTGGCCTCAACTCAGAGAATCTCGCCAATCAAAACTGGCAGGACAAACCCCAATCTTGGCTGTATGACTGAGGAAGATCTTGTGGCATATGCATCTCTACGCAACCCACTTTGGAGCCACTGGGCAAAGCTTCTTGTGGATGCGAAGGACAATTGTAGGTCGCCCAATGTTGACCCAGATTCCCTCTCGGGTCGTTCTCTCAATGATTGAAACGAAGTTGATGAAAGGCTACTTATACTTTGACACTCTTCTACATCCTACGCCTGTCTTCCGCCCTTCACATCCATTTGCTGCCCTCGCCTCACAACGTGGCGGCCTCTGGGCGACACCAGGTGTGGCGAGGAGCACATGTCATTCACACATCCTGCATGAAGCTTACGTGCCCTTGTAAGAAGAATCTGTTGTTGGGGAAAAGTGCTTTCTCCTTCTCAATAGCTAGTCATCCTGAAAAATCAGAGTTGTTCTGGACATCTTCAAGAAATTGGCTCTCTGAGACAGCCCTCAACACTGTTTGCCAGCTGCAAGCGCCTGAGTTTGTCTCAGTCCCATTAGCTGAAGCCGGTCCACCAGTCGGTGCATCTGAAGCTGCACCTACCAAAAGCATTCCACTCGAGCATTGATCTATGAGTCTTCATGCATCTTTCTGGCCTTGGGATCCCTTCGGGGCCACAGCGAATGAAAAAGGCTTCTGGAGTGGATACGTGGTAGTCCGGGGATTTCATGACTATACATGATTGTTTGGTTGTCCCGCAAATCCAGCACTCCGACCTACCAACACCACTGTGGTTTGCATTGTACCAGCCATATGATCTGATGACAAATGACATCAAATGACCAACTTTCACTTTCATTGGCTGTTGAAGAAAGAGAAGCTTTTGCTCGTAAGGCCCCAAAAACACAGCATGAATGCCGTCAGGTGTCGAGCATCAACATATGCAAATCACATGAACCGCCCAGCTGGTGCCTCACTGAGGGCCTCCTGCTGCTGGAGAATCGCAGAAGCAGTGCCCAACAAATCTTCCTGGATTTGGCGCAAACAGAACGGGTTTCCACCACCCGCAGAGATCAGAACTTGATGATCCAAGAGATGCATTTTCTCCGGTTGGGATGGTCACAGCTCTTCATACGCATCAAAGTGAAAAGTGTCTAATTCCGACCAATCTCTAATTGAGGTCACATCTTGGGGTCCTTAGTCACCCATGAAATCTAAAAGCAGGCGTGAATTGATTTGATGAAAGGAGCCACCTTTTCATAGGACTATTGAGGTTCAACTTCTCACCTGAGAGAACCTAAAAAATGAACCAACAGACCAAAAAAAAACAAAATTTACAGTGTCGACGATAACTATGAACCCCAGAACCTCAAGTTCCTAGGATTTGCCAAAACCTACACTAGTTCAACCTTTCAGAAGAGGAATGTGAACGGAGTTTGTGTTGCTTCGGCTAAGCCCTATCGTCCGGTTTATTCGACTATGTTTGTTGAACTTTGCAAGCCCTGGTTTTCGAGTTGCACCAACATTTCCGGCGATGCTGTGCAGGGCAGCTACACAAAGCAACTGTTTCAATCAGCCATAATCAACCTATTTGCAAGCAAGTGCTGGTGTACCCAAATTCGATCTGATGAAACTACATCATACTTACGTTACTATACGCTACTAGGTTGAAGGCCATCGCTACTAGGTTGGAGGCCTTACTATACTACATATTCAAATCAAACGCGAGCCGTCCTCTAAAAGGCGCTTTTGTAGCTCCTCTCGGCAGAGTGTGCGAAGCCTCAGTGGAAGGGTCAAATCAGAGTTGAGGGCCAAAGAAAGCCTAGGGCAGGAACAGTAACCCTGCTAGGGTGAGCCACACCAGTCAGCAATGTAGAGGCATGAACGACCTAGCTGAATGAGCGTGGCCCTCTTTGAAGCAAAGGCTGCAAACGGTCTAATCTATCCATCCATCCATCCAAGCATCGATCTATCCGTCTATCTATCTCTCCCTCTCTCTCTCTGTCTGTCTGTCTGGCTGGCTGGCTGGCTGGCTGGCCGGCTGGCTGTCTGTCTCTCTCTCTCTCTCTCTGTCTCTTGTAAAATTCAGCAGCTGTTTGTTTGCCGTTTGTTTGTGTACGTCTCTATATTGTTTTCCTCTTGGCAATTGTCACTAGGCTCAGCTAGGCTAGGCTCAAGGCCTTTGATCCAGGGTGCATTGTATAGCACCAGGCAATTGTACAATTGTACATGAACAATACGATGGAGTAAACATGCAATTGTACAGAAGGTTGTATCTTGACACCGTCCCTTGGTTTGATTCATTGTTGAATCACACCATCAATACAAACATTGTTGAAACAGTAAAGGAACATTATTGTACGAAGCAGTTCAAGCATTGTAGACAAGTCTGTACATCTTTTCTGCCATTGTCTCTCCAGTATTGTTGCCGTTCTCATCGTAGTGCGCGTGTGGCATTGTCACTGCCGGAGATCTGCAGATTGTCGGACCTTTGTTCTAGCCCCGCGTGTCCTCCATATTGTCTTCTGGAGATTGTCTGGGACGCTTTGTCCCTTTCTCCTCTTCTTCATCTTCTGACTTCTCCATATTGTTTTCATTGTATAGGACTGCTCGGTCCTCCCACAAGGAGATTGTCGAGTTTGTGGGAAGTCGACGCTGATTGTGGTAGTCTGGAATCGTCATCTCCATGGCCATTGTTGCCCTTGAAATTGTGTCCTCGAAATAGTCGATCCCGATTGTCAGCGCTCGTGAGCTGGGAAGCGGCTGCGGTCAAAATGATTGTCGACAAATTGTCAACTAAACATGCATTGTCATCCAAATTCAAAAGCAAAACTTCAAACACATTGTTCATCGAATTGTTCTCCGAAACGACGGAAAGAAAGATTGGATCCATTGTGAGACTGAAATCTTGTAGTACACAATGTCTATGACATAGTATGCACATAGTAGCTAAAGTAGTGTGCCATGGCTTGATGCCCCCGTGTGTGTATTGTACACGCATAGACGCTGCCATGGTTGTGAAACTGTTTGTACGGCCGTTGTTCAGTTGTGATGTTGTGGGCATTGAATGCCCGCCATGTAGAGGTGTTTGTTAAGCACCTCTGCCGGGACATACTTTGTCAGTATGTCTGCTGGGTTATCATGTGTGCTGATCTTGTGTATTGACAGTATCCCGCTTTGTACCAGTTGTTGTATGAAGAGGTACTTTAGGTCAATGCGCTTTGCTTTCTTTGATGAGTCAATTCTTGTTGCTATGCTCTTGCCGCTTGTGCTGTCGGTGTGTATGCGGGTGTTCACCTTTGTTGTTGTTGCTTCCTTGATGAAGTTTGCTATATGTAGTCCTTCTTGCGCTCCTGCGCCAATTGCATAAAGCTCTGACTCTGCTGATGATAGTGCTATTACTGCTTGTGTTCTGCTTCCAAATTGTACCACGGATCCCATCATTGTCACGATGAATCCACTTGTTGATTTCTTGTGCCTGGGCATCCTGCCCAGTCCGCATCGACATAAATGTTGAGGTCGATGGGTTCCTTTGTTTGTGGTGTATGTGTTGTCCTCATGATCATTTTGTAGTGTTCTGAGGTATCGTAAGAGATGTTTCACCTTGCGCAGGCTTTGTTGTGTTGGTTGTTGTAGGTCTCGCGCCAGTTCTTTTGTTGCAAAGCTGATGTCTGGTCTTGTGTAGGTCAGCGATTGAAGCTTTCCTACTGCTCTCCTGTAGTCTGCATGTTCTTGCGCGTCCAACGGCGCGTCATCGTTTGTGGATTGTTTCAGGGTCGCCGTCCCTGGAGCTGATGCTGGATTGCTTGCTTCCATTTTTGTTTCCTTCAGCAATGTTGTGATGTATTCTGGTTTGAGGCTTACCTCAAAGAAGTCTCCATTGTTGTGGATGTCTCTGCCAAGGAATTGGATTGTCTGACCAATTCCCAATGCGTCGGTTGGTCGTAGTAGTACATGCTTTTGTGCTTCTTTGAAAGTCTTGTCGACTTCTTGCTGTTGTCCCAAGAATAGTAGATCGTCTACATAGACCATCACAAACATTGTCTGTTCATTGTTCCTGTACACGTTGGGTTCACTTGTCAGTCGAGACAGTCCCATTTGTTGTAGGACTTGCAAAGTGATCCTGCCAGGGTTTTGGGCTTGCTCGTAGTCCATAGATTGCCTTGTCGAGCTTCCACGCTGTGGTTGTGTTGTGACCACTTGGGTATAGTTCTGGTGGTGGCCACATGTAAAGATTGTCTGTTGCTGCTGGCGCGTGCAAGAATGCTGTTGACACATCTCCTGCTTGTATTGTCCAGTGGTTGCGCTGTGCCATTGTCAGTAGGATACGTAAGATCCCAAAGATTGGTGCGCTCGCATAGATGTTGTCAAGGTCTTGGATTGCTTCCAAGTATCCTTTTGCTACAATGCGACATCGCACTTCATCTTGTTTGGGTTTGTTAACCCGCTTGGATTCTATGATCCTATTCTTGTGTTCTTCAGGGACGTGATTGTAGTTCATCTCTGTGAATACTCCTTGTGTCTTCATCGATTGCGCTTCCTTCTTCATTCCTTGTTGTACTTTCAATGGATCAAGACCTTCATTGTCGTAGACGAAGGGTTCTTGTAGCATCCTCTCCACGTCTGCTTCTTGTTCATCTTCACAGGATGCTGTGGTGATCTTGTCACCTTTCTTTGTGGTGATTGTCACTGCTTGTATTCTCATCTTTGCTTTTGGTTGTTCTTCATCTCGTCCTCGGTTTGCTGCTGTTGAGGACTGTGCTGTCCTTGATTGTTTGGATTGCGCTTCACCTGTAGGCTCCTCGTGTTGTCGCTTGCTTGCTGGTGGTATTGGCAGCGGTGGTCTTGCCACTGTTGTTGGTGAAGTTGCCAATGGTGAGGTCGCCATTGTCGCATCCATTGGCAGATGGTGCACTGCTCGTGCTGTTAGTGCCAGTGATGTCTCTTGTATTGTCTGTGTGCTTGTATCTTCCACTGTAATGTCGGCTTGTGCGCCAATTGCTTGTCCGCTTGCGGCGTTGTCAGATGGTAGAAGCAATTGTCGTGGAATTGCCATTGTTGGTGTTGGCAAATTCCATGGATACACGTTGATAGTATCCAATAGTTGCTTGTCGTACTTGTCTGGCATGATCTGTCTTCGTATTTCGTATTGTTCTTGCTTTGATGACCTTGCCAGGGATGCCAACTATTGACTCTCCAGTCATTGTATCTCTGCCAAGCCAGATTCCTTTGAAGAATCTTGGTTCCATCTTGGGTTGTGCTTTTGTTGTTGGCATCATGTACGCTCGCACGGACTATCATAGATGCTGAAAAAAAACATTTGTGTGTTTTAACATGGAACCCTCCATGAAGTTCACAGTTGACATGGAAGTAGGCCAATAATGACCACAGTTGACATGGCTGCTTTCCAAAGACCTGAGAAGCCAAGCCTCAACCAGGCCTTTCCCCAGGTGATGCACCGGAGACCGCAGGGCTCTGGAAAAAAGCTATGATAAACCAAAACTTTGCATTCCTAGCAGAAACACAGGTCTATGGAAACATTCCACGATGAAAGAAGATATGGTGTTTCCTTGGGGGGTTGGAAAAGAGCCACGACAAAACAAAACCAACCATTTCTTCCAGAGTGACATTTGTCTGGAAAAAAGATATGATGAAAGAAGGGACGTTGCTTTGCAGAGAAGCTTCAAGTTCCGGAAAGGAGCTATGATGAGAAACCAAGCAACCCGTACTTGACGTTTGTTTGAAGCGCACCTCCGCTAAGCGTCACTGATAGCGCCTATTGCCCCTTCCGCAAGGATGGCAGCGCATCGTTCAGCAAAGCTTACTTTTTGGCCCCCAGGCTTTGCTTTGTGGTTTGTGCCAAGCCACGAATGGCTTACATAGATCTAGTCCGCTAGCGGTGCAAATGTGTGCTGATGGAGCTTGGAACAAGTCCAACGCATTGCGGCAGAATAAAAACTCTCTATCATAGCTAGATTTCTCAGCCCAACTCCGTGACAAACTCACACCGGACATATATGTGTCTATTCTAGTCTCAAGCTCCACACGTGCCTTTGGGACAGAAACTGTGAAACAATCCCGTTTTTTGGAACAGTACGTATCTGTAAAATACGATTGAAACTACAGCAAACCAGGTCACAGATGGGTCCCAGCACGAGCACCTGTGGTACTCTAACATGGAAGCTGCGCAATCCAAGTTATCTAAGATGGTGTGCATTAATTGCGACAATGCGTGCCAGACCCTGCCTTTTGGAACCCAACATGAACAAGATGCAACCAATTACAAACGGTTCATTGGGTTGTGTGCCCACCACACAGATAGATCCCAGCAGGAGCACGTGTTCTGGGCTAACATGGACACTCTTCAAAATGAAACGTCCAAGATCTTTGCATTAATTTTGGCAATGTGTGCCTCGCCATCTGCATCACCGGGATGCTCTTCCAGAAACCACAGCCACAGTTTCTGAATTGAAAGCAAGAGAGACATTGCCTCACTCCTTTTCTTGCCCCATGTGGGGGCAAAATTCCGGCACTTTGTGACCCAGCGGGCATGCCATTGGAAACTCTTGGTATGACATGAAAGCTGGAGCCCTTCCATGTCTGGAATGCGTGCCAGACCCTGAGACTCAAGTTGCTGAAAGCACTCCCTATTGAAAAAGGAAGGAGGTGCCCAATTGACACCAGTTGGTGCCTTTGAGCCCGTCTCTCCCACAGTCTTTTTCTCAGCAGTGCCGAGCATGGTAACAAAGTCTTCTTCATTGATCATCTGCAGACCAGAAGTCTCTTCCACAGACTCACCACCAGACCCAGCATCATCAGCCATGTCAGCACCCAGCACATCAGCTGCAAGTGTCTTATGCACCTTACTGGACCCAGCTCCAGGTGCAGGCGCAGGATCATCCTGTCCGCATTCCATGTCAATCCTAGCTTGTCCTGCAGCGCAGTAGCCATGTCAACCCACTAGCACCAACACAACCACAACCAAACATTCTTCTTGGAAAGAACAATTTCTATACATTGCAGTTTGACAGTTTGACACAATGACTGTATCTACGTAAGTCAGTCCCAAAGTCAAACCCTTCTCCTTCCAGGCCCTCTTGGTCATACACCTGATCATCGCTGGATTCTGCAGATGAATCTGAGGCGTTGCCTTCCAATTCGATGGCCATGTGACTGTACCCGTCAATGAAGGCAGCCAACCGGGCGTTGGCCTGGCCAGTCTTGAACTCCCAGCAACGCACAGGCAAAGCTGTTTTGTCAGGATTCAGCTTCAAGGTCAAATCCACGTTGTCATGGGCTTCCCTGCGAAATCCCATCGTCATGATGGTCCCTTTGACCCGTTTACTCTTGAACTCCGGCTTTCCCTCTGAAGTCACCTGCACATGGGAAGCAAGCCATTCAGGCGTAGCCATTTGGCCCGTGCGGCTGTTTACCACGATGTGCCTCTCCACCTGTTGTAGAGACTCATAGGTCTCCTTCTGCTTCTGCGTTGGCTTTTTCTTGGCACTGGGGTCCTTCTCCAGCATCGCATTGAGACTTGTTTTGGTGGAGCTCAGCTTGTTCACGTGCAGCATCAAGGTCCTGACAAGAGCTGAAGCCACCTCATACGGCAGCGGCACCCAGGATTGGCCATTTTCTTCCTGAAAGGAGCACTCAAAGCAAAGATTGACATGGAATCTGGCCCAAAACCAAAAAACATCACAACAGTGTTTTTGCACATCAAACGGATAAACTTTCACAATCTCCACGAGCCAGTGCCATTGTTTGACAGATCAGCTGTTTGTTTGTCGTTTGTTTGTGCACGTCTCTGTATTGTTTTCCTCTTGGCAGTTGTCACTAGGCTCAGCTAGGCTAGGCTCAAGGCCTTTGATCCAGGGTGCATTGTATAGCACCAGGCAATTGTATAATTGTACATGAACAATACGATGGAGTAAACATGCAATTGTACAGAAGGTTGTATCTTGACATCTCTCTCTCTCTCTCTCTCTGTCTCTCTGTCTGTCTCTGTCTCTGTCTCTGCCTCTGCCTCTGCCTCTGCCTCTGCCTCTGCCTCTGCCTCTGCCTCTGCCTCTGTCTCTGTCTCTGTCTCTGTCTCTGTCTCTGTCTCTGTCTCTATCTGTCTATCTATATATATATATGTGATTATATGTGTGTGTTTGTGGGTGTGTCACGCGAGACCCTCAAAACGATGAAAGCCGGTTGTCGCGACGCACGCTCTCAGCACAGCGAATGCACGAAGCCTTCTTTGTTCAAGCTGGATTGTGCAGAACCTACGCACCCCTTCACGAACCTGACCCTGACCCTACCCTCACCATCAGCCTCCTTCTGCCTGCCTTCTTGAAAAGTCTTGAACAAATTGAGCTTGGGGTGTTGCCAAGTCAACAAAGCGACATGTCACCTGGACCCTGCCCCACAACCCACAACATGTGCTCAGCGGCTGTGGCAAGGACACACTCTTCTCCACACGCTCTGAGCAGCTTTGCAATCTGTGGCCACGGTCAAAAAGGAAAACAAAATCTTCCCATTTGTAGCACACAAAAGGTGCAACAAAGTCCTTTTTCAGGACTTTCAACACAACTGTCCAAATGAAAGATCTGCTGCTGCATCCTTGTCGCACAACCCCTGAACACAAGCTTTGGCGGCAAGGCCTTAGATGCTGTTGCCTTGTGTCACATAGCACCTCTTCAATCGTTTCGAGGAGCCCAAACCACCCGAGCCGAACCCCGCCTTTCTTCCTGGGTAGTGATGCGTTGGTTGGACATCTCCACGCGCACCTCCAGCTCATGGAGTTTCTCGGCGCGATCCGCGCCGTCCTCCACCTGGCGCCTTGGGGACCAAGCTCCGGTGAATCCAAATGCGTTTGGCGTTTGGGTTTTTTGAGCAACAAGGGGTCAGTGATGATCAATCATCTTGCCAGTCGGAGGCCGTGATGTCTGTAGGGCCTTCCCATATATTGACGCTACCTCTCAGAAGTGATTACGTTGCACCCTCTTTGGTTGCCCTGTGCATGCACTCATACAAGAAAAACACATGCAAGAAATTGCAAGAATACATGGTTCCGCTAAATAACTTCAAGCCCAAATGAGTGGCTCCCGCACTGGCTACATGTCTTGGAATGAAATGTGAGGCCAGAGGAGTTTGGGGGTTGCTCACCTAGGCACAGCAAAACTAGCTCTTGATTTCAAGGAACATTCACCAATAGCGGCTGCGTTCTGCAAAGAGAAGTTGGAGAGGCAAACTCGAACACCTTTTGTCCAATGTTCCAGTGTCAGAGTCGAACCGGGCAGCTGACACTTCACTATCTTCACTATTTGGCTGGACAGGTGCAAGAGACGAGAAGACAACATGGGAGGTCTATGGACTGCCTTCTCAACTTAAGAACATACCAGTACATCCGGAAAATAATTGTCGGTGCGAGGTGTCTGAGAGATTCCCGGCTGCCAATTTGCTCACCACAACTTTTTCAGCTCCAGACTGAAACTTCTGTAGCAAGTCAGGCACCTGCACTCATGTCCATTTCTGTCTACCAAAAAAAGCATAACCTCATTGCACAAAGATATCAAGGAGATGTGTGTGTGTGTAATTGGGTTGGCATCTGAATAACAATAATGCCGTTTATCGTTTGTTTAGCAAACATGACACTCAGCGACCTTTTCGATGTGCTATGAAATGAAGCCCCTGCTCACTTACCCACAGGAACAGCACCTGTCGTTGAAGATCTTCTAGCGCCAGCTTGAAGCGATCCTGGAACGTTTCCACCAATAGATCTGGAAACCAAACAACTTCCAAATTAGAAACTGGAGCAGCACTGGAGCACTTTAATTTATGGTCAGTATACAATGGACTGGCCCTCGGCCAACCAACACCAGCAGAGTCCAGCGCTGGCTTGCACAAGAATTTTGTACGAGTACGTTAAGGATTCCAAGCACCCAACCACCGGGCTGCGAGCACCAGCAAGAATAACTTACCACTTCACCAGCAGTCACAACCATAAACTGATCACCTCACTGACTTCACGACCAAAGAAAAACGCACGCACCGAAGCCAGTTTCTGATACTGACATGTACTGACCACGCACAAGACCACCTGCGGCATAGGACTGCCACCTTCACAGAAACCAGTTCCAAAAATCTTGTTCCTGGTTTGGTTGCTCTGGGATTGTCCTCCTCACAGTCTGCATAGCACTTTTACTTTGTGCGCTCGCTCTGACTCCCCAAAGCCTGCACATGTCTCACAAAACTTTGTGGCACCTCAGCTTTATGCGGCTGAAAACCCTTCTGTTGCTGCTTGAGGCGGCTACGAACAACACGTCCAATGCGGTTACAAACAAGATGGATTTGCAGATTGTTTCAAGCTACCATCCCTTGCCGTGCTTCTGGACGGGAAACTAGTGACAGGTCATGGTCGCATGCTCAGGAAGTAGCTACCAAGTAGCGCTCACCTTCCCCCGCCACTCCACTAATGTTACACTGGCACCCTCCTAGGAAAGTCCACGTGCAAATCGGTTGGGCAAGATTTGCGAAAATCATAGAACCTTTTGCGAAACCTACTCTTCCCGTGTCCAACAAAATGTCAGTCCAAACAAGTTTACCTTCGGCGTAAGGAACTCAAACCGAAGCCTTGAAGCCCCGAAACTTCTGGTGTTTCTCAGTTTGATGGTTTTGCGACTTGGCACAAACCCTCGAGACCTGGAAATGAAATGTTTTTCAAAGCCTCCCGGTCCTTCCTTGGAAGTGGCATTGCACCGGGGTCACTTGTTGATGTCTACGTTGGGATACGGTTTCGTGGATTGGCTCAACCCCCTTTGACGTGTTGATGGTACACAGTGACATGAAAAAGTGTTTCATGAAAAACTGTTTCATGTCGAGTCTGCAAGATTTAAGTCCCAACTTTTGAAACCCTGGTCATGCAGCACTGCATGCATATGAACCCCTTTCACTTGCGCAAAGAGAAGGAACAGTTCCGCTATGCACACAACCAAAAGGGTCCATAACTCTTTTGCTTCCCCAGAACACGCTGCCCTCGAGACGCCAAACCTCCAAGGTCTCACGCAGCTCACAGCAGAAGTTTTCAAGGTGATCCACCTGTTGGCAAAGCTGACTGGCAAAGGGAAACACTGATATGCAAATATGATCTCGTGAAGACACACCATCACAACCAGTATGCCAAAACCACCACGATGGGTACTTGAGCGGGAGGCGGTGGACGAAAGGTAGGCCAATAAGTTCACCTTTGAGAGAGGTGGGTCAAATAAACAAGAGAGCGAGCGAGAGAGAGAGAGAGAGGGAGAGAGAAGAGAGAAGAGAGAAAAGAGAAAAGAGAAAAGAGAGAGAAGAGAGGCGGCAGCAGCAGCAGCAACAACAACAAAGAAGCAGCAAAGCAGCAGCAAAGAAGCAGCCCAGCAGCAGCAGCAGCAGCAAGAGCAACAAACCAACAGCAGCAGCTGAGAAGCTCAAAACGAATCCAATCACACCACAGCTGCAGCACTAGTGGAAGCAAAATAACAAGGAGGGAGGTGAAGCTCGATACGAAGATACGAAGCCAATCACACGAAGCCACGACGGTACACTTGAAGGAAAATTGACCCGTCCCAGGTCCCAGGGCGAGTTGATCCGTGCGGGGACCCCCCTGTTATGAAGAATCGCCTTTCGCGAGCCCAAAGTCAAGGCGTGTGGAGGGAGCTGCCCCGAAGCTAAAGCTAAAAGAACTCAGGTAGCTAAAGCCACCTTTCGTGACAAAGGTCTCACTTGACAGCATTCTGCACCTTCAGCGCTAAAGGTTCCACCTCTTCCGGCGAACGGGCAGCCTCAAGCAAACTGTGGGATGAGTTACGCTGACAGTTTCGGTAAGACTTTCGATCAGCCAAATGGTGGCAAGGCTTCAAAGAATCCACATTGCACTTGTCTGACCAGGGACTTCGCAAACAGGCATCCGCAAAAAGCCAAGGCAATCCGCTGCACAGCCAGGCTCAACCTGGTCCGGACCTAGCAACCGCGTGCCTTGACCTATTGCAGCCCAGAGCACTCAGGCGTGATACAAATTCATGCCCCTCTGGAAAGCAAACGCAGTGGAGACTTGGAAGAACTGGTGTCACATAGACCTCTCGATGTTTGGCGCCTGCAAAAAGGTCAGCCTGGATGGGCTCACAGATTGACTCCTGGAACTGAAACACCGCACAAATCCTCAAGGAGGGCTGTAAAGGTCTGGCAAAAGGTCGCCCAATTCAATCTCAAGGATCATAATTACCACACGAATCCCAGTCAAAAACAAATACCAACGCTGGTCTACACCTCAACACTGCGATTCTAGCTACCCATTTTTAACTTGAAACCATGCCCAAAAATCACAAGGTCAAACGGTCAAACGGTCAGACTTACCATTCCCTTCCCTTGGGATATTACACAACGCAACTGCTTGCATCAACTCCAATTCAAGTTGCGCATCGTTTTTGGAAATTTGTTTGCCGCGTCCGCAAGTTGCAGTCCTCTGACTTTGCGCAGAAGCCTGGCAGCAACTTCGATTGATGGGGAGCGCGTGGCCAAAAAAGAGCGCTTGAGGTCTTTCAAGGACCATCCACAAAAAAAATAAATATAATGACTATCAACGGCTTTTATGGAGGCAACGGCCTACCAGGCTGCGCGCGGTTCCACAAATTCTAAGGCGCAGTCCCCGCCATCCACGCCTTTTTGGGTCCCAGCCCTCCGCGCCCTCCGGGCGGCCACCGACTCCCGCGCGCTCCGCGCGGGCGGGAGGGTCACTAATTGCAGCTCCACGGCTGCAAACCTTTGACGATGGAGGGACGATGGGGTGTCTGGAACAGATTAGACAAGCGGCGAGGGACAAAGGTATATGATATATTTATATATACATATAATATAGACCAATTTTTTTTCACAAAATGGCCTTCCCTGCTTTCGTTCGTGTCGCGCTGACCATCATCGGTTTCCAGGAAAGGATGCCCGAGCAAGTTGGATAGGATTCCAGCTGCCTCGATGAATGACCACAGTGGAACCTCGGTCAAATGACGAAGATCCACGTAGGACCGTTGTCATTCCCGCAGGAACGCCATGGCTGGTGCATCTTTCTACAACGATGGAGGCTAAAAAGCTTTTGGTGGCGAGAATGAGGCTCAAGAGATGGAAGACCTGGGCGACGAACAAACTTCTGGCAATTGCTGACAAGGTTCCTCCAAAGGCCGGAGGCCCTACGCACACGCTTCACTGCAGGGCACAGCATTGAAGTGCATTGAACATCTTGGGCCTGCCGACTGCCAGAAAAAAGGTGGAGACCCCAGCGTGAGTGAAATCACGACAGAGGTGCTCAATCTTCTCGCAGCAGAGGGCGAGCTCCTCAAGATATAGGTGCCCAGGGAAACGGAGCTGTTCGGTCGATGCAATAGGAAACAAACGTTTCCTTTCCTGAAGAGGCTCGAGGGTGGATCACATCTTCATATCCAGAAATCCGATCGGGATTGAATACTCGCTAGTTGAAGAGGACTAGATGACACACTGCTGCGGGTCGAACATTTGTTGGCTGAACATCAGTGCACCAGCAAGTCGGAAAGCAGAAGGCGAGGAGGAAGAACCCTACGACGAGACTGAAGCTGCCGCCGAGGCTTTAGCTGTGACTTGGCAAGACAAACGAAAAGAACTCAATCGTCTGCAGAAAGAAAGTTCCGACAAGCAGCCGACAGGCGAAGTGAAACGCAGCTTTCAGATTGAAGTTTCAAACGGAAGAAGAAAACACGACGCCAGCGTTGTCACTGGGCCAGGGATTGTCATTCGCCACCTCCTCCAAACAGGAAGTCCAAAAGAAGTGCTTTTTTACCTCCCACTGGAGCAGCTGTGGTTGAACTCTGACATGGTTGAGAAAGCAAAAACAACGGGATCGCAACTGACAGCTTCACCCTGAATCAAGGGACGCCGTGCCCTGCTCAACAAGTGACTCTGGAATGAGTCGCCGGCTGCCAACAAACAGTATGCTGGCCGACGGTGCGGCCAAGAGAGAACTTCGCCGTCAAAAGCAATATAGTCCGAAGCGAAGACAAGATGAAGGTCCCGAAAGACTGTAAATATCTGTACATGTTTTTGCTTCACTTGGGAAAACACACCGATGAAGTGATGCTTGGGATGCGTTGTTTTCGCGCGCATGTCAGTGAACTGGGTCAGGTCACTGTGATGCATGTGGTTGAATGGTCTTGCTTGCAGCTTGTTCAGATAAGATCCTTGGATAGCCTACCAACCCCGCGTGCCCTTTTCAACTGTGCGCCCTTTAATTGGCATGGAAAGCAAAGGGCCGGCAGATTCGCTCCATCTACCATGAACACACCGGGATGTCACAGCCGCAGAGGACGCCAAATATCTGCCCTCCCTTCTGCCAGGAATTCTTGATTTCACCACTTGGGGCAAGACCCTGATTCGCTTTCATTACAGTAATATGCCAAGAATGACATGGCGTGCCAGGAGTTGGCATCCAGTTCTGAATGCCGGCTATGTCAGCGTGAGTTTTTGATGCTTGCTTCGGTGCGGATGAGCGCCTTCGATTCCTGATGGCACTTCGACTAAGCGAGAGTTCAAGGCATGAGCCTTGGTTGACCAAGGCCAGAGCTGGAATCTATACACTGGAGAAGAAGCTTTGCACATAGAAGATTATAGCCGGTGTTGAATTCCGTTCACAGGAGCGCCTTCCATGCTTTTGTTCGTACGGCAGGGGCCATCATCGGCTTCCAGGAAAAAGGATGGGTCCGACCAGGTTGGATAGGATTCCAGCTACCTCTGTGAATCAACATATATACAATACTTTTTCCAAGGAGATATCAGCATTTCTTGGCACGGGTGGTGCCCCTTGGTGTCCTTGCGATGTTTCGTCTAAAGAAGCGACACTGAATGGCTGCAAGGGTGGGAATGCATGATTTGAAAGACAGAACACTTTGTTATACTTAAACATACAAAAACATGCAAAAGGATCCTATATAAAACGTAGAACCCCACGGGGCCGAAGGTTGCCATGGCAACACAAAGGGATAACCTCTCCACGCACATGTAGCCCCATGATAGATAAAGTTTAAGTCTATGACATTTGTTGACTTGAGGTTTGCTGGCACAAACCCTTCTGTTTCCGGATAGCCTAAGGGACCAAGTTTGCAGGATTCAAAGCCAACAAGAATCATGTTTGGGCGCCTAGGCCCGAATTCCACTTGAAATGACACCATCTGCCAGGGCCAACGACTCCACAAGCAGGGAGATGAAACCGAATGAAATTGACAGCCAAGCCACCAGAAACTGGCTTCTGTGTAACCATAGGAGAGGAAAATAGCAAAGAGGTCTGGGTCCGACTCACGTGCGCAAAAGACCTGGCAGCAAAGCCTACAAAACTGAACAACACAGAGAATGTCAGGCTCCTAGAAATCTTGCGCATGTGTGTGAACCCTGGAGAGCATGCAAGTGGCCAATGCCTACAACCATCCTACCTCACCAGCCTAAGTTGCTCCAACCCAAGTGTTTGGCAAGAATTTTTGAGTTTGCCAAATAACATTCTCTCCAACGGGGTCGCCCATGCACCTCTCAATCAATAGGAAATCATTGATCAGACCCCTCACCACCCTTTTGGGAGATTTGGGAATATTGATTGACCCCAGTTTGTAGTGAACATGGTTTTTCGGGCTGAGGAGTCAAGCCTTTTCTGTGAAGGAACTGGCTCACAACGCCTTGTCTGGCTACTACCGTCTTCCGCCAGCCTTCCTCGCTGATCCTCGAGGTTGCACAACTACACCAAGGATCGCGATCCATTGGACCCCACGAGCTTACCCAACCAGGCAAAATATAAACACATCACATGCACCAAGGGTGCATGATGACCCTTTTCCGCATCACTTAAGCTATCGCGCACGTTCGCAGGTGCTGAAGTGTGAGCGGCGTCGACCGACCTTTTTGGTCGTTTTTTTGGTAAACTACAGTTCTAAACCTTGATTGCACATTCTTCTTCATGAAACGTGTGTCTCAAGTTTATCGTTCTTCTTCATGGGTTTTGAGAGACAAGTTTCTGTCACCATGGAGAAGCTTCCGCCTGTAGTTAGAGACCCTCCGGTATCCTTCGAGGAAGGTAAAAAAGGGTATATACAGCTGATGATGTGCGTGGAGAGGTGCACTAGAGGACAACTCAAAACATATTGCTCAAGTATTTGCCATTCAAATCCAACCCTTCTCAAGGGGTACCCCACCTCCCAAATAATGTTCAGACATATTTCTTTGGGCTTGATTTTTTTCTGAGCTTGTCACGTTCTTTCCATTCAAACCCAAGCTTTCTTGAGGGTCCCCACCCAATTAATTTCAGGGGGGGTCTCCATAAGTTCCTGGTGTCGTTTCCTTCCTATATCACCATATCTTACCAGCTTCCTTCTGTTGAATTTTAGACCTTGTGAAAGGGGTGCCTCCCTCCCCCTCCAATTAATTTTCGGTCACGGCTGCCTTGAAATATCCAGCCCTTCGGGATACCTACCTCAGGTCCTTTTAATTGAATGGTTGATATGTTTCAAAAAAGAATTCAACACCACGTGGAACAGGGAAACCAACGCGACTTCCCGAAGAGCTTTCGACGCAAGGAACTACAACATGTTGGGTAAACGGGGGGGTCGCCCGGAAAGCAACATGCTGAGGGCTAGAAAACCCTGCGTTTTGCAGATGTGTTTTGCCTTTCCGGCCACTCAGTCATCATCTTGGAATCCCAAACGACATCGTCATCAATTCATCCTTGCGTAGGGTATCAGCTCATCATCCACATCATGTCCCTAACGCATCAACGCATCCTCCGCATTATGTATGTAACGCATCAACGCATCATCCGCAGTATGTCTGTAACGCATCAGCGCATCATCCAAATCATGCGCGTAGCACATCAACTCATTCTCCGCATCATCATCATCATCATCATCATCATCATCATCATCATCATCATCATCATCATCATCATCATCATCATCATCATC